CTCTCCAGTATTTTATGTATGTATTCTACTCATCGTATCCCTCAGTACACACAAGTTTCTTTGGCTACAATATATTAGAAACTTTTAGATCTTCTAACTTAGATTCCCTTCTTTTTTCTGTAGTCTTTTACATAAGAAAGGGATATTTGCGGTAGATAGAGAACATTTCTTTGTCAAGGCCCAGGAATTCCTCCATTTTGGTCTTAATAGTAACAATTTCAGTTACCACAAAATAACTCCAAGTTTGAATTTTATTACCTTAACTTTCCTTGGTTGCTGCTTAGGTGATTGAAATTATTTTCTAATAGTCTCTTCAAAGAAAGAAACAAACCAAAATGCTTGCCTCTCTGTCTTTATGCACAGTAAGAAGTATATATTAAGCTCTTTCCTTGAATGCTAACACTAATATCAGTCCCACCCAAGAACAAAACTGATATTCCTGTCATTAATTAACCTGTTGCTGATTATCTAAAGTCACCATCCTTAGTCCTTGAAAACTGCCTTTAGCCCATCTTACATCAGTTGTTAAATTTACATTTTTGTCATAAGCTTAATAAGTTTTGTAAAAATATTTTATTGTTTTGTTTCAGTTGTCCCCATTTTTCCCCCTTTGCCCTCCTTCCCCAGCCCACCCCACCCTCGCTCCCACAGTCAGCCCCACCCTGTTGTCCATGTCCGTGGGTCAGTCATGCATGTTCCTTGACTAGTCCTTTCCCCTTCTTTCCACCCTTATGTCCTTCCCCCTCCTCTCTGGTCACCATGAGTCTGTTCCTTGTTTCCATGCCCCTGGTTCCATTTGCTCATTTGTTTTGTTCATTAGGTATTTGCCTCTCACTGCAAGCTTACTGAGTTTTAACCGTTGATTAGCATGGAATCTAGTTACGACAGGTCACGTAGTCTCCCTGGCATCCCTCCGATGATCGTGTTCTCTTCCCCTAATGTCTTTGTTCTCAGTCTCCTCAATTCATTTGCAGCTCTAGAAATGCATGTCCATTTACTTTCATGATACACACACAGCACAGTAAGGGGGATAAATCATACAGAATAAAGTTATAAAACGTGTGCTCCACCAAAATGTCCAGGGCTTGACTCTTCTATACATGCATTATCTTGTCAGCTGTTTCATAGATGCTATTGCAGTTTTTTAGACTTTTTGAACCAGAAATCTGGTGTGTTGTTTTTTTTTTAATTTTAAATTCTTTACCCACAGATATATAAATATCCTGTACAAAAAGTTAGCTTGTCTTAAAACATTTAGGGTGATAAATGAAATGTATGAGTCTATTTTTATTCTGTCTTTGAGTTGTAGAATAGGTTCATATACATTCATGAATGTTTGTATACAAATGTCTTTTTTTATTTCTAGGCTGTCTACTTTATTATGTTATAACCAAAATTTAAGACCTTTAACACCCAAACAGACACTATAGTCTGAGAAATTCATGTTGTGACTGTTTTTATCAGGTAATAAAAAGACCAATAAATGACAGTGATTGGGAATCTGACCTAAAGGGGGCAACAGGTTTTTATCATAGACCTTAAAAGCAATCAGTCAAAACATGGAAAAGAAGTTTCCAAGGTAGAGCTAGGAGGAAAACCAAATTCTGCCATTATTCCTGCATTCATCATGCACTTACTGATCACCTACTGTGTTCTTACCAATAAACTTCTGTGATAGGAACAAGGCCTGATAGTAAGTAAATTCATCAGGAATGAAAAGGACATCTACTGCTTTTGATGTTTAGCCAATATTTTAAAAAGTGAAGTGCCACATTGTTTTAGGAATATTTTTGGTCTTTTCCCTAATGATTGCTAAGTTTGTTACTTTTATAAATAGCAAGTGAAAGTTTCAGAACACAGGGACATATCAGTAAGAAGGCTTTTATTTAAATTTTTTTATTCTACTCAAAATGATACTTAAATACTTTCCATCCATCACTACATTTCTTTCTCAGCAAATGGATTGTCAAAGATCCTTCTCCTAATTATTTTAAAACTCCAGCCCTGTCTGGTGTGGCTCAGTGGATTGAGCGCTGGCCTGCAAACCAAAGGATCACTGGTGTGATTCCCAGATAGTGCACACACCTGGGTTGCGGACCAGGTCCTCAGTAGGGGGATGCTCCAGAGGCAACCACACATCGATGTTTTTCTCCCTCCTTACTCCACTCTAAAAGTAAATTAAAAATAAATGAGACTCCAAGCAGCAATTGAGGGTCCACCTGATGCCAGTGCAGATGGAGAGAACCCTCAGATTTAATCAGAATTAGCTTTAGTGACTCCAAAGCAAAATTTGGGTTTGGGTGGCTGGCTTTAACTCCTCTTGCTATATTATGGAAAGGACAGACAAGTTCTGGAGGAGGGACCAGAGTATTAAGGGGAGAGGAGGTTGTTGCTAACAGCTATTTACGAACTGATGTGGAAGGAGTTTAATGGTTAGATTTCAAGTAAGGTCAGTCCACAGTCATCTTGTTCTACCTCCTCTGTTAAGAGAGTTAACCTTACTAAAAGTTATGTTCCATCAGTTGCCTGACATTGGAACTAACTCTGCTTCTTTCCTGTGAGATGACCTAACACAGTTGGCAATGGTGACAACTAGCTCACATTTTTCTCTTTGAGGTCAAGCTTCCTTTTTTCCTCTGGCAGAAACATTACAAAATTACAAAACAGAAAAATTTGTTACATTTTTCTTGGTGTGTAGCAAGGCACAAAGGCTGAAAGAATCCTATGAACTAATTTGCTTCCCTTAGGTATACTTGCATTGCTTCATAGATATTGGAATGACCCAAGCTTTAGATACTCCCCTAGTCCAAGTTTATCAAGTCCTTTTATTTACAAGTGAAAAAGGCAGTATTTCATTCATTATGTCATTCATTCAACAAGTATTTATTGACAAACTCCTATGAGCTAGAATTGTTTTAGAGATAACAGCAGTGAGCAAAATAGGGGAAAAAATACCTGCCCTTATAGTCAATTCTGGTGGAAGTAAACAATAAACAAGGTAAATAAGTCAAGTATATGGTTTATTAGAGAACCATTAAGTGCTGATCATAAAGATCAGTCTGGGAAGATGAGGAAGCATTGGGGGTCAAGGAAGAACTCATTGAAAAGGTGGGATTTGAGCAATCGTCTGAAGAAAACAAGAGAGTAAGAAAGAAGACATTAAGTTATTAGAAGAGCTTTCCAGGCACAGATAGGAGCAAATGCAACCATCCTGAGGCAGGAACTCTCCTGGCACATATAAGGAGCTACATGACAGCAGTAGAGTGAGACACTCTGTGCTAGGAGAAGGTGGTCAGAGAGAGAGGGGGGGGCTAGGCTGTCAATTGCCTTAGAAGTCACTACAAGGACTTCAACTGTTCTCTGCCAGTTGGAAAACTATTAGTAGGTTTTGAACAAAGTGACCTGATCTGACTTATAACAGGATCCTTTTGCTGCTATGTTCACAAAGAATTCTAAGGAAGCAGTATGGAAGCAGAGTCCAATTTATAAGTTCTTGATGGTAATTTGGACTGCATGGTAGCCATTGGTAAAGATGAGCCAATAGGATGTTATTAATGTGAAGTTTGAGAGAGAGGAGATGAGGGTCACTCCCTCAGAGTCGTAGTCCTGAACAAATGGAAGAACGCTCTTTACTGAAACAGAAAAAACTATGAGGACAGGATTAGTTTGGACAGAAGAGGGGAGAGGAAGGGTTATTGGGATCTCAGTTTCAAACCTGCCAAGTTTAAAATAGTCTTAGATGTCAAGTGGAGCTCAGATAGAGGCCAGGCTGGAGGCCTAAGTTTGGAATGCATCAATATGTATGTAATATATAAAACCAAGGGAACAGAGGAGTTTTCCAAGAGAGTGAGCATAGACACTAAAGAGAATATGCATGTCCAAGAACTGAGATGAAAAGCAACCAACAATGAAAACAAAGTTCAGATCTGTAAGAGTGAGGAATGTGGTAATTTGGAAATACAAGAAAGGATTCTAAGAGAGTAGTCAACCCTGTTTGATGCTGCTACTAGATCAGATAAATTAGTTCTAGAAGTAACCACTGATTTAATTCTAGTGGAGAACATTGATGACTTTGATAGTAATAATCATAATGGATCAAAGGTTGTGGTGATCTAATTGGAAGGCATCAAGCGGGAGCTGAAAATTTGAAGACAAAAACAATGAATAACTATTTGAAGCAGATTTGTTGTAAAGAGAAAGAGCAAGGCGACACGCTGTGGGCCAGCCTGATGAGGCAGAATTGTCGCCAGGTCTGCTGACAATCACATGCTATGAGTGTGAGCATTAGCTCTGCATAGACTCAGGGACCTCAAATGACCTAGCCTGGGACAGACATATTGATTTATGAAATGTTTGTCATTGATACATTGGTGCTAAAAAAAGAAATATTAATCAAACCACCTTTCTTTCTTTTTTTTTTTAAGTTTTTACAGAGGGGATGTGAGGGAGAGAGAGAGGGAAAGAAACATCGGGGTGTGAGAGATACATCAATTGATCGCTCTTGCATGCCCCCAACTGGGGACCTGGCCTGCAACCCAGGCATGTGCCCTGACTGGGAATCAAACCTACAACTTTTCAGTTCACACAGGCCGGCACTCAATCCACTCAGCTACACCAGCCAGGGCAAACCAGTTTTCTTAATGTACAAGTATTCTTCTCTTTTTTATCTCTTATGTCCAATATTTTCTCCAGATTTTCTTTGAAAGTTAGTTTTTAATTGTATTGCTTAATACTCCTCTATATTATAATGATTTGTTTGCATGTCAGACTACCATCCTGACCTAAGTTTCTTGAGAAGGACCACACTTTATTTCTCTTTACATACTCATCTAATAGCTCAACTCCTGGCACAGGGCAGACACTCCACAAATGCTTTTTTAAATGAGTAACTTTTATGTTCTGTATTACCACATGATGCATTTGAGGGAAAGTCAGTGTCTTCCTCAAGTTTGCTATTAGTTTCTAAACAGATTTTTGCTTGGTCATTGTGTTTTCCACAGAGTTCCTGCGGATCAGACATAGTGAGAACAGGCTCTCTGAAGTTCAGTAACACACCCATTGGGAATTCATCCTTGAAAAGGACAAAGCGAAAGGCACCTTCTCCACCCTCCAAAATACCTCTGCATCAGAGTGATGAAAATAGTCATGTGACTGGTAATGCTGTTTTTCTCACTGATATTACATTTTTATTTTGTTTAATATAGACAGTAGAAATGATATAGGTTATAAATTATGTCTTTTTATTAACAATAATACTTAAACTTAGGCTTTTAGTTAATTAGTTTTGATAACACTTAGTCCCTAGTTATTTTACTTAAGCACCTTTTAAAAATCTTCAACATGACAAAATAAAATGAAAAAATTATACAGCTTCATTATCCTAATGAGTATGTGGTAATTTGTACATCTATTCAGAAAGATCCAGCCATTCCAGGATTGACTACATGTAGGAATGCAAATCTAAGTGGATTAGTAAAATGGCCATCTCCTTCTGAATTATATAAAAATAAGTGAAGCTGCTAAGGAACTGCTTCCTTCGTGAATGTGACTTGTTTCTAAGCTGTGCCGCTGCTGTGTTCTAGCCCTGCAGGCCGTCCACACAGACAGCGTTTCAGAGGCAAGCTCTCCAGAGGGGCTGTCCAGCCCAGGTATGTGCGACACCTTTCCTTCGGACCATGCCATTAGGAAGCAGATCTGTCGTGAGGAGTGGGGAACGACTCTAGTTAACAATGCTGCGTGTGAAAGGGATGTGAACGCTTTGACTCTATTTCTCAAACTTTATATTATTAAATGACAAAATTTCCCCCTGGGTTTAGAATATGAAATGGGCACAACTCAAAATTTTAGTTCTGGTACCTTGAGTATTTTCCCTGTTAGGTCTCCAGTGTTTTTCCTGTGTAATGTTGGGTTATCAGTTGTTAATTTTCCTGAGAGTAATGACACATTTTGGTGTGTTCAAAAGAAAACTTACATGAAGATGTAAAGCACCATTCTTCATACAACTGTCCTAGGTATGAATTTAACATACAAAGTATTCTAACCTAATGGTAAAAATTTGTTATTATGAAATATTTTCTGTTGTATATTCTCATTTTGGATTCTTTCTCAATAAATGAAATTCCAGTAAAAATAAAATAATTCAATCGAATACTGTCTCCTAATATTTTTAATAATAGCTACTTATTAAGAATGAGTATGATAAAATTTCATAATCCTTAGACTTTAAAGTTAGATATAAGTGAATATAACAGGCTAATAATGTCTAATCAAAAATAGAATACTGTTAGGCCAGTACTTTAGAATGCTGATAATTTGATATAATTGGATATAAAATTCCTTAATATAACCTTACCTAATTTTTATAATTTATATTCACAAACACAGGAAGAGCTCAAAAACACCCAAATGCTCCTGAATCTTTTATATTTAAGTGCTATTTAGGTATTTGGAGTTTGGGCATATCTTACAAAAAATTTTCTTTTCCTCTATAATTAAAAATGTTACAATTAAGTAACTAGTAATGATTTTTCTGAACTCCTACCCAAAATGATAGGATACCATATGTTTCAAAAAGAAAATTTATGAAATCACATCAAACCATATAAGTGAAATGAGAAAATTCTGAAGTATTAGAAAAAAGGTATAACTACTATTCAAACCTTGCTTGATATCTATTTCTCTTTCTTTTCCTTTTACCTCTTCTTGTTTAATGTGTGGATAATTGTGAGCTAACAAATCTGATTCCTTCCAAAATACTCGTGGTCTCTGTTTGCCTGAACTCTGTTGTCTAAGTGCCATTTCCACAGATTCTCCTTCTTTGGCAGAAGCTTCATTTGGCCCCGTGCTTCCTGGCCACGAAGAGTGCACTGTTCCCACACTGGCAGATGAAGTTGGTCTCTTGGAGCGCTCTGGAACACCCGAGGCGGCCGTAGCATCTCTGACATGTAGGTGACCAGCCTTTCTTGAGATGTAAGATGAATAAAATCAGTGGTTCTGAAGAATTTCAGTTTCTCTTCTATTTGGTTTTCTGGGGTTTTTTTTTGCAAAATATTTGAACTTATTATTTCCAGTGTCTAACTATATAACTATAAAAAATATGTATGTTTTTCCTTCTTGAATTTCTTTTTTGTTACTGAAGCATGGCTTATTTTATATAGTATTGATTTTGATTGGGATTTTTATCTTAAAATCATTGGAATTATTTTGTTACGAGATGGCAAAACTTTATAGTTAGGTAATACTTGAATGTTATCATATAGATTTTCCTCAATTTCTCAGTGACTCAGAAAGAATCTTTATCACTTCAAACTAGTTATTTAAAATTACTGTTATCACACGCTGCTTATAGGAATGTAAAATTGTGTGGCCATTTTGGAAAATAGTTTGGCAAGTTCTTTTTTTACATAAAATTTAAGCATTTGTTTTCTATATGACAGCAATTTTATCTTTTCTTTTAATTTTGTTATCTTTAGAGGGAATAAAAACAAAAAATGTTCAAATTATATAAAGCTAAGTAAGTGTAAAAGAAATTTCAATATCTATACTTTTATGTTTTTGTAATTTTTTAACATTTATATTGTGGAAGTTGTTAAATCTTAAATTTGAACACTGTTCTTTCAAAGTGAATATCCTTCTTTATCACTTTTGAAGCTGAAATTCAAGTCATGATGAAAGGTTAGTGAAAATGATTCATTGTTCATGGGCCTGACTCCAGTGTTTTCATTTTAGCCTTAGAATTTAGCCATCATATAAATCTGTTAACCCAATACAAAACAAACATGGGTTTAATATTTTTCAATGCTTGGGAAATTTATACTAGTTAACCAACTCTGAAAGCTCTCCTGGATTACAATTTTTAAAAGGAATCACAGCCCTTTCTATAATATTTAATAACAGGAATACTTTTCAGGCTAGTGAAAAATATATATTTAAGCAAACCTATAAATGAATCTTGTAACTACCAAGTTATAAAATCCCAGAAAAATAATTTGAAAATATTTTTGATACATATCACTCATTCTTCATACTTCAGTTAATTGAGACCGGTTTCTCAGTGAGGGCACCATTTTAATAAAAAGTTCTGTATTTTTGACACACTTGTGATGTGCAAAAAACAAAATAGGGATAACGGTCAGTAATTTGATAAATGTTACCTCAGTTAATCTAATAATTTCCAAAAGAGCTTCATATATACTGAGGATCCATTTATAAAGCATATTTGCATCTAAACCAAAAATGGCTATTCATTTTCTCAATATAAAGTTTTCAAATTATGTTAATATACTTTTACTACATAGATGTAACATTCCATTATAAACATAATATTATAGACACATTGGCATCATAATGATTATTGCCAAAATACATTTAATATTTTACTTAAGTTTTTAAAATATTTTTTCTATTGAATAATCTTTTAAAATTTATATTAAAAATACCATTTAAATTCTCCATATTTGTTAATTAAAGAGTAAAAATAGTGCAATATTCTATTTTCCTAAAGATAAAGATAAGAAATGCATTTTAAGTACTTTAAATATTCTTCAAACATGTTAAAGTTTTTATTAAATTTTGTGGGTTTATTTAAATTTATAGTGATGTGATGATCACTATAATTCAGTGCTATATCATCTTTTCTCCCCTCTATTGTGGTTAAAAATCAAACTTTGTTTAGCTGCTTTTGTGTAAATGGAAGTGTTGAATTTTATATTGAAATAAACAAACACCCAGAACCTCATTTTTCAGTTTAAATTAATATCCACAATGAATGTGGACCTAGCTGCTTAAGATGTTTCCTTTTTTCACCTTGCTGGTCATTTGTTGTTGGTACTAAGGAATAATGATAAACACAGGTTTACACAATAAAATATTCACCAGAGCCATGGAAAAGCAGCACACACATGTACATGCACTTGACATTGACATAGGACAATCTTCAAGACATAGAGTAAGCAGAGAAAAAGAATTTGGTAAACAAATCATGTGTAATATGCTTCCATTTATATTAAACTAACAAAAAAGAGATACATGTGAGTATGCATATCTGCACATATATGCTCATTATACTTTCTGATAATGTTTAGAAAAAACTTTTAAATAATATTGCTTCAGAACTAAACTGAGTGGGAATAAAAATAAATTTTCATTGCATAATACTTATTCTGGTTTTTTGTTTGTTTGTTTGTTTGTTTTTTAATTAAGCATCTAAATCAGTGGCTTTTTAATCCTGGTAATTGTGTATAGAATCACTTGAGAAACCCTGCCACTGCTTGGTCCCCTCCCCCCCCACCCCACCCTTCAGAGAGTCTCATTTAACAAGTGTGGAGTATGATATGGGCATAAGTGTCTTTGAAGGGGCTCAGATAATTCCCAATCGTAGTTAGTACTGATAACTACTGAGTTAATTTACAAGTGCACCGATAGACAATATAAAAATAGCATTCTTTTCATTTACATTTAGCTCTATTAATGAATGTATAAGTCATTTAAAATTGAAAGATATATTCTTAAATATATAGCTTTGGATTTAAATAATGCCTTTTTTTCTACCATGAATAAAACCTAGAGTGATAGAGTATTATTTTTAGCATTAAATGTGTCTGAGATTGTCTGATTATGTTGACATAAGTATTCACCATTAGAAAAATATTTCACTATTAGTTTTGAATCAGAATTTAAAAGAGTCCAGCTAATTATTATTTTAAAAATTTCTTCTTTGCCAGGATTGTATAGCATGAATGAGGCAAATTAATATGTAGGATTATATCTTCATTTCTTTGTAGCTGGAGTAAGCTCTGATTATAGTCTTGAAGAGATAGATGAAAAAGAAGAACTGAGTGAAGTGCCTAAAAATGAGGTTGAAAATAATTCTGGGAAGTCACAGGATATTCCTTTTGGATCTATGGATATAATAAATACACCGAGAAATGATCCTGACTCGGCCCTTGGCAATGATACTGGAGAGTCCTCACAAAACTCCAAAGAAGAAAAACAAGAAACTAGAAACACAGATGGACAGTAAGTAGTGTATGTGCCAGAAGTTTTGGTGGTGGTTTGTTTAATTAATACTAGTCCTCTGAAATATAGATCTGATATTTTAGGTGCAAATATAGTTGTTGCTTTAGTTTAGACTCTATCTCTTTTACCATCATTATAAAAATATTTAATAAGGGCCCTGGCTAGTGTGGCTCTGTTGGGTGGAGCATCATTTTGTGCACCAAAAGGCTGCAGGTTTGATTCCCAGTCAGGGCACATACCTAAGTTGCAAGTGTGCTCTCCAGTGGGCGGAACGTATATGGGAGGCAACTAATCGATGTTTCTTTCTCACAGTTTCTCTCTTTCTCTCTCTCTTTCTCTCTCTCTCTCTCTCGGTCTCTTCCTCTTCTCCCCTTTCCTCTCTCACTAAAAGAGCAATGGAAAAATGTCCTCAGGTGAAGATTTAAATACAATGTTTAATAAAGTATCTATTTACATGCAATTGTTTTTAAATAAATTCAGATCATCACTTCTGGTATCTTTGTGTCAGATAAACCAAAACATATAGTTAATCTGTATGACTTAAATATAAAGGTTTTTATTTATTTGTATTGTATGTATTTTGCCTATTACCAATTTGACCTAAGTGAAATATTTAATTTTCAGTTTCACTCAGTGTTCCTCAAGGATTTTCACTGACTGATATATAAAATGATTCTACATATTAGCATATGGTATTTAATTACTAATATTATTTTTACAATCAGCTTGATGATACAGAGAATACACTTTCCACTTGACACTAGGAATTGAAAACTATAGCATAGTATACTTGTATTATGTCAGAAATTCTATCCCATGAATAAAGATGAAATTAACTAGGCAAAAATAAACCACCTTCATTAAAGTTTTGTTACAATTTTCATGGGATTGTCTCCAGTAAAATCCAGTGAGGTCAGTCCACATCCTGGCTGACCAGAAGTTGGCCATGCCTTATCATGCTAAGTGAAATAAGTCAGTCAGAGGAAAACAAATGCCTTATGGTTTTACTTATATTTGGTATCTAAAGAACAAAAATAAATGAACAAACAAAATAGAAATAGACTCGGTACAGGGAACGGACTGATAGCTGCCAGGGTGAGGGGGTTTAGGGGGCTGGATAAAAAAAGGTGAAGGGATTGAGAAGTGCAGCCTGGAAGTTACAAAACAGTTCACGGGCATGTAAGTACAGAGTAGGGAATGTGGTTACCAATATTGCAGTCATTGTGTACGATGCCAGGTGGGTGCTAGAAATACCAAGGGGGGCACTTTGTCAAGTATATGATTCTCTAACTAGTAAGCTGTAAACCTGAATCTAATACAAAACAATATTAAATATGAAATGTAGCTGAAAAATAAAAAAAAAACAGTTGATCATGACAGATGCAAGATTAAAATGTTTCATTTATATCCTTTTTCTTTAAAAGACAAATAACAATAACAAAAAGGCTGTTTTTGGAGAAGTGTCCATTTTATCAAGCCTTTTGCATCTTTCTTTGTAATAGGACCCCATACTAAAGGTAATGTTTCATAGCAGCATTTCGCCTCAGTTGCATTTTTTCTTTGCCATTAAATTTTCAGTATTTGGCAGAAAAAAAAGATAATTATGTCAGTCCATCTGTCTTTGGAAATTATTGCTTGTTTTCTTGTCGTGTGCATGCGTGTGTGTATGAATAGTATTTATAACATACAATATCATATTTTGCAGAGGACCACTCTTGATGAGGTATGAAGCAAGCAATGAAGAGATGGTAGTTGACAGTGTAAGAACCTTGAAGTTGTTAGGACCAGACCAAGAGAATGGTGAGTTCTATAAACACTAAGAGCCAATACTTTCATAGCACTTGGTATGTGCCAAGGGCCATTCTTAACACTTCTCTATTAACTCATTTAATCTTGTATATTAACTCTTTATGGGCATTATTTGTCTTTAGTCCCATTTATATATGATTGAGCCAAAGATATTACATAACTTCCCTAATACATCATAATAAGTGATGGGCCTCAGATTTGACCCCAGGCAATATTTCTGGAAAGCTGCAAAGTGTGCTAACTACCACATGCACCCCTTTGTTGTTGTTAAATGTTAGAGATTGTCCGACCTAAATCTTACAGATGTATAGTCTGTGCATGTACTTGTGATCTACTTCTCCTTTTTCATTCTGCTGACTCCTTAGTCCAAGCCTGTTTTACTTCATACTCGTTGTTATACCTTGGGTGAAACTTGTCAGTCTGGTTCACATCTAATTATGTAATGTTATTTATTAGTATTTCCTACTACTCCCCCCAAATCAAGGTAGTGTCTTGTCTTTCTCATCATATATTTCTCTCAGTTCTATCATTCGTCCCATGTGCATTTTTGTCCTTGCATGGGAAATAGTTTTCAACCTATCTTCACCCATTCAACTGCTGTTCAAATCCAGCCACTTCACTTACTTTGTTACTTGATTACTAGAAGCCATGTAGTTCTCTGGTTGTGACTCCTCAATAGAATTGGGAAGTCTTGGATCAGATAAATTATATCTGATACTTTGTTTGAATTCCTCATAGCACCTAGCATAATACTGAGATATTGTTAAAATATATACTTTGAATTAAATTTCAGAAAACTTAATACCACATAGAAGATGCAAGGAATGCATAGTGGTGGTATTTTAGGGGAACGAGAATTCATAGTCTAATTTATTATGTTAACATATAGAACTGGGTTGAAATTCTTAACAACCATAGGAATATATATTTGGATAAAACATTGATTATCCCAATGTCATAGATAGATATGTATGTCTTCTATATATATCATAAATGTTGGTTAATTTAAATATGTCTCCAATTCATTTTTCTCATGGTCTGTACTATCCCGAGACACAATACTGAGAGGATCTAAAAGTATATCATTTCCCCATTCTTTTCCTCTTGATTCAGTTTTTTACAACATATACTATGGTGGCAATAGCATTCAGTTGAGAAATCATGATTTTAAAACCTCTTTCTTCTTTTTAAAATAATCAGATTAAGTAATTTTTGCTAAAATTTTGGCATCAAGTTAGTGCTAGGGTCACAGGTACACTTCTGTAATAATACTTACTTGCATTTGCACTTGATTTGCAGTGACCATTGTTAACTGTAGGTGCTTTTCAAAATGAATAAAATTTCTCTTATCCTTAGAGTAGTTTTATTCTGTTTTCCTCTTTCATTACCTATCCTGCATATTTATCTAAATCATTCTTTCATGTTTGCAGACATTGGTGTCAGTTTTGAGTAGGGAAAGGACAGGATAGTATAAAATACACTTTCTCCCTTTACTGTCTATTCTTTTTTTTTTAATATTTTATTTATTTATTTTTAGAGAGGGAAGGGAGGGAGATAGAGAGAGAGAGAAACATCAATGTGCGGTTGCTGGGGGTTATGTCCTGTAACCCAGGCATGTACCCTGGCTGGGAATCGAACCTGCGACACTTTGGTTCCCAGCCCGCGCTCAATCCACTGAGCTACGCGAGCCAGGGCTATGTCTATTCTTTAAAAAATGACCTAACCATTCATTGACACCTAGCATCATTATCAGCCATGTTCAATGATGGACTAGGCAATAAATTCAGTAGTGATTCTGAGTGTCCAGGTCTGACAGTCATTTATAATAATTGTGAAATTTTTATGAGAAATGCTGAGTTAGACAATGGTAAAGTAGACATAACCCACAAAAAAGTGTGAAAGAAATTTGGATATCTAAGCCAATAAATTAGAGTTTCTTATAGGGGATTTAATTTACGAAATATTTTTACATTAATGTACTTTCTTTTGGAAAAAATTCTATTGTGTAACTGGCATATACCTATATTCAGTGGAAAATAAGAAATATAGAGAAGGAAATACATTTTCTAGCAGGGACCATTTCTTATACACTTCTGTGGTCATAGCAGCATTGATAGTAGTGCTTTCCATACAGGTATTGAAAATACTTATGAACCAAGTAAATAAGAGCATAGGCAGAAATGTGCCTCTTCCATGGTTCCTAATCACAAGTCCTTCATTTTATAAATCACTGAAGTTAATAATTAGTTGTCAGTGAGAAAAGTCACTTATATAGACAAGACATATTCTTATAATCAGTTGTATTTTATTTGGGAAGAATAAAAATTAAAATTTATATATTTACTATAGGAACCTTGAAACATAACTACCATGACCAAATAACCATACAATTAGACAGGCTTTGAAAATATGAAGGTACTTTTAAAAATTGCTTGTGTACAAATTTACCTGGCAATGTGATTATTTTTTTTCATGCACATCTTTCTTTTTTCCTTATCTTTCTTAACAGAGAAACAACTTTAAATATCTCATGACATTTTAGACAGTGAAATTGATGTTTATCTTGTACATGAAAGTGAGTGATGACAAAACTATAGAGAAATACTTGACATCCTTTCACGATTTGACTCCCAGGGCACACATTTCACTTGTGCTGTGCAAACTCCTGTATTGAAAGAGCAGGCCTCTGAAGATTTTTGAAGATGAAGGCCAGTTGGTGATTGAGGAGAAATGATTCTTCTGGGCATTTGACTACAGAAGCACAGTCTATAAATCAGTCACTTCACTTAGTACTGGACACATGGTGCGCACTCATAAACCCGTATTTCCTTTTAAGTCCTCATGCTAGTGCTTTGCCACCATGTTTTCGTCTGGCGACTGTTGCTCTGTTATCCTAGACACTGGCGAATGATTTTTGTTTTCAAGAAGTCTAAATTGGAATTAGGATGAAAAGTGGTACCAGGGAGAGGAAGGTTATTTTCTCTACTTTAACTCTGACATGCAAACAATAGGATATCTTTTTCCAAAGAGAAAAGTCAAAAACCACGTGACTGTTTTTATGTACTTGAAATCAGCAATAAAACAAAATCCTCTTCAGTGAGGACACAGTTAACGAGGTAATCAATTTAGATTCTGTTTACACTTCAACTCTTAAAGGTAATGCTTCTGTTGTTGCCTTATTTAAAACTGGTAACATTTGCTGGGATTGCTCCCTCTTTAATGTTATGTGTAAAATTTAAATACACTAGTGGATATAGAAAAGACAGGAAGAGAATCAAAATGGGAAAAAAGAATAATAAAATATATTTTGAAATTATCAGTTACTTTTGTCATTCTTAACAATGCTGAAATATGAAATATTTACTTAAAAAAAGAAAATAGCTGTCTTCTCTGGAGTGCTTGCTCTGGGTAGTGCCGTACCCTCCCAAGTGTGTTATGCAAGTGATATGTAAAGTACATAGTTGACCCTTGAACAACATGGGTTTGAATTCCACAGGTCCACTTATATACATTTTTTCAATAGATACTATAAAAGTATTTTCCCTTCCTTATGATTTTCTTAATAACATTTTCCTTTTCTCTAGCTTACTTTATTGTAAAAGTATACAGTATGTAATATATCTGACATGCAAAATGTATTAGTTGTTTGTGTTGCAGTAGACTATTACTAAAGTTTGGGGGGAGTCAAAAGTTATATCTGATTTTCAATTGTAGAGAGAGGTCAGCATCCGTACCTTCTGTGTCCTTTGGGGGTCAACTGTAATACGTATTTTCATCATTTTACATCTGGGCAAACTGGGGCTGAAAGGGTTAAGTACTAAGTTGTGGTCACAGAGATTGTAATTAGCCAGGCCTGTTACAGATGGATTCCAGACTGTGGTCTCCATGACACTAAAGCCCATGCTGTTTATTTCTAAATCCCATTGCCTACTTTTGTATAATTAGTGAACTGAGAACTTTCTTATAGAAAGTATGTACTCTTATAGAAAGTTTTATTTTCTTATAGAAAGTTCTCAGTTAATTCAAATTAACGTACTTCACTTTGGGGAAGGCAAGCATTGAAAAGTGAGGTTTTTCTACTTTTTTCCATATGCTTGATGATTAATTTTTTTTCTCTCAGTAGATCAAAATGAAATAATTGTCACTTCAATGAACACAAAAGATAATAAGAAAAATGAAGGGCGGAGAACAGAAATCAATGTAGGTGGTGTTGCCAAAAATAACAATGTGGACATGGGAGTTGACAGACTATCAAACTATCAGGCACATCAAACTGAGCCTGCTGGGAGTTACAAGGAAAATAATCTAGCTGCTTCATCAGCACCAGGCCAAAAACTGAATCAACCTGGGGCAGAAAAGACAAAAATGCAAGATGCCTCAATTCAGACGACTCCTTCCTGTAACAGTTTTGATGGGAACCACCATTACCATTTGTCTGACTTCAAAGCTGATGAAAGTGTGCAGACTGCAGGTAACAACAAATCAACTCAACATTCCTCTTTAAGTCCACAGGGCTCTGTAGGTACCTCTAGAGAATTCAAGAATCAGGGCCCCCTAACTATGTATACAGAAGATCAGCTCACAATAAAAGATTCCATTTATCCACATAGTAACGATGCTCTTTTGCCTCCTGTAGATGGGATTAATAAAAATTCAACTGCTTCTTATATAAAGAATTACCCACTTTATAGACAAGACTACAATCCCAAGCCAAAACCTTCGAATGAAATTACAAGAGATTATATACCCAAAGTTGGGATGACGACTTATAAAATAGTGCCTCCCAAGTCCCTGGACATATTAAAAGACTGGGAATCAGAAACCTTAAGGTATGAAGATGATCAGGATACACATACTTTAGGAAGAAAGCACATTCAAGAGAATGTGAAAGAAACTGCCATCCAAACAGATGTTATTTCCGAAAGCCCGAAGGAGCCGCAGATAGACCTTAAACCCAAGCCTACGCTGAGATCAGAGAATCAGCTGCACAGTGTGGAGAGCCTGTCCCAGGGCACCATGGCAAATCCTCTGAAGCCTACTCCCAGGATGACAAGAGACACTGGTACAGCTCCTTTTGTGCCGAATTTGGAAGATATAAACAATATTTTGGAGTCAAAACTTAAATCTCGTGTTTCAAATACCCAGACCAAACCAAGTTCTTTTTTCTTGCAAATGCAAAAAAGAGTTTCAGGTTACTATGTGACATCTGCAGCTGCCAAGAGTGTCCACAGTGCCCCTAATCCTACTCCAAAGGAACCGATAAAGAAAGAGGTAGAAAGGGATACTGTGCACCGTCCAGAGCAAACTCTTTCTCCTTTCAGTAAAACAACGCACCCTCCTCCACAGCCCCATGTTAAAAACACTGATGATGGCATCAGCCGTCAGAAGCCCCCTCAACCTTCTCCTCCTCCTGTAGCTCCAAAACCTGTCTCTCTTCCCGCAAGTCAGTTAGCAGCACTAAATCTGAAGACTCTGAAAACTTTTGGTGCCCCACGACCTTACTCCAGCTCTGCGCCTTCGCCGTTCGCCCTCGCTGTAGTGAAGCGGTCACAGTCCTTCAGCAAAGTGCGTACGGAATCGCGCAGTGAGGGCATGTCTGCCCCGTCTCCAAGTGACACAGAGGAAGGGAAGATTCCTTCTGTAAATAAATTTGTTGATGTCCCACAATTAGGTGTCAGTAATAAGGTAAATGTTACCTTTTTAAAAATAAGGGGGTTTATACAGCATGGTTTAAATGGTGGTTAACAAGCATGTTGATATGTTTGTGTATTAAGTCTGAGTTCATATTCTAATATCAAACTACTTAGAAAAAATATAGTACATAGAATCTGATTATTCTCAGAATTATTATAACTCATAAATTTGGGTATTACTGTAAGGTCAACATATAATTATATCATCAGCAAATATTTGTATTTAAATTTGCTTTGTTCATACCTTTGTATATTGTGCTAGTTTTTAGTTCTGACTATATATTTTCCTGTATTTTGCTTATCTCAATTTGTTGATAACTTTCCTGGATGGTCTGGCATACTTGGTTTTTTTCCTCCAGCTCTACATAATTGCAAAATAGTTTTAATTATATAGAAGTATAAACAGTATCAAAGCCTACATAAAATAACCAAGTGTCTCTCAGCTATGCATTGTCTGTCACATACACTTAACCTTGGCTTATTAAACATTTTTACATATAAGCAATTTAAATTAAAATCACAGTTTAATATGTAATTTTCTTTTTTATTTTTTGATTTGAATTTTTTTTTAAATATCTTATTTATTTATTTTTAGAGAGGGAAGGGAGGGAGATAGAGAGAGAGAGAGAGACTCATCACTGTGCGGTTGCTGGGGGTTATGGCCTGCAACCCCGGAATGTACCCTGGCTGGGAATCGAACCTGGGACACTTTGGTTCCCAGCCCGCGCTCAATCCACTGAGCTACGCCAGCCAGGGCTAAATATGTGATTTTCTTAATTTCCCATTTCATTGATTCAGTGTTGGCTTTTCCACTAATGTGTGTGTTGACCAAAATATCACTTACCACTATATAACCTTAATAATTTACAAAAATAGGGAGTATTTGTTGACTTCATGTTTGCTCAACTGTGATAATTTGCCAGTTTAAATAGTCAAAGGACAGGATTGGATTCATAGTGTGAATTAAGATAATCCTCAAGCAATTTTTAAAAAATACTTTGTGTACTTTCACTCTGACAGTGTTTAAAGAATACTTCCACATTTGTGCGACAGTTCCAGAAGTATTTTATGTGACTTTTTCAAACACTCCTGGAATAACAGAACATTAACCATATTGCCAAGTAAAGATTTTTCCATAATTTAAATGCAGTATTTATCTTGAAGAATATTTCTTCATGTATCTCTCATTTATGTTTATTACTTTGATATAATGTCAGGAAGAGATGTATGGTAGGAGATTAATTCTTTACTTGGAAAAAAGCCTGTGTTTTTTTTCCTAGAATGAAATACCATCCCTAAACAGTGGAAGCTCTATTTAGATAATACCGTTTGGGGGCTACTGCCTGAGCATTGTTTAGTTTATCATTTGTAAAGATATTTATTTGGCAGTTTGAAAAGGACATAGTTAAAATTGTTTGATAAGAGTTGCCAAATTAGTTACCAAATATTCATTCCTATGGAGTTTAATTAAATTTTTAATTCTTAAATTCAGAAATTCTTAATATTTATTTTTAGTCTCATGGGAAAAATAAAGAAAACTTTGCCATCACTTAGTCCCTCAGACTTCTAGAAACACAAAACAAGCCATTGCAGGTTGTCTAATCATTAATATTTCATGACTAGATGACATGTTAGGTTCATCCAAAATGAATTTGCCAATATTTGTCTGTTTTTTATCATCAAAACATAATTTCACAATCTAATATGTTGGAACTGTAAAAATGGGTTATTTTTTAGTCTGTGAAATGTGTGTGTGTTTTTTTTTAATTCATTTGGCTCTTTTAGCCAACTTCATTGGAGAAATCAGCCTTATTTGACTCAAGGACAGTAAAATTACTCCTGTGTTCACAAAACAAAGAAAGGTACCACTTTTCTTCCTTAGTTTCCTCCCTATTTAAGAGAAAGGAAATTAATACCTCCTTCCAATGGAGCTCTGGCAGCCAAAATAATCCAGTGAGTGAGGGAATAGAGCTATGTCTAAAAAACCAATGTGGCAAGTGCTAATTCTTAAAGAACTACTGATGAAGAAAAAATATTGGAAAAGTGTCCATTCTTTATTTGGTATTCATATAAAATATTTTGCATTTATTATTTTAGGAAAATAACTCTGCATATAATGAACAGAATTCCAAAATACCATCTCCAACTAACTGCCCATCACTCACCCTTAAGAGGCAAAGTTCTTTAACTTTCCAAAGCTCTGACCCAGAAGAGATCCGACAGAGTCTGCTGACTGCAATCCGTTCTGGAGAGGCAGCTGCCAAATTGAAAAGGGTAAGTTTTCTTTATCAACTTACAGCGGGGGACAGCGGGTTTATTTTTAACATTGTCAAACTAATAGGGGGAATTGTTTTCTGGCATTTAAACTTGAATGGGGAAGATGTCAGAAGTTACTCCTTTATGTCAGGGGTCATTTTTGAAGTAGATAACCTGAGTCCAGAGTCTTACACATACTTGAAAATATGTCAGGTCTGTTTTCCATAACATGGGCCAGGTGCAGAATATGTCTTTTTGCTCATTATTATAAAACTATATATAGAAAGTGCCTGGATTTTTTTTTTTTTCTTTTTATTGTTGATACTATTACAGATGCCCCCATTCCCCCTCCCTTTGCCTGCTTTTACCCATCCCCCACCCCCTTTTCCCTCTGGCTGTCCCCACACTGCACTCTGTGTCTGTGAACTCATAGATGCATATATGTTCTTTGGCAAATCCCTTAAGAAATTGTTACCCCAACAAGAAAGATTTTTTTTAGAAATAAAATGCCTCTGTATTCCAGAAAAGCTGCACTAGTAATAGTAACCTGCAAGTTTTCAGTCATGGTTAGTAAGGTAATCAAGATACTACTACATATAGGATAAGATGGGGATAGGGCATGGGGGAGACAGTTTTACAGGTTAACCCAAAAATGTAGAGACAAACTAGAGAATTTAGATGAGACCTAATGTAGAAATTCAAGTCCTGATAATGCCTTGCCAGCCAGAATTGTCTGGCTCCTCTGTACTGAGGTGTAAGGGAGCTTCCAGAGAGGAGGTGGGTGTCCTCCTTCTGTCACCCTCATCCTCTGAAAGAGGAATGGTGAAGCCTGAAGCCTGCATCATAACTTGGACTTCAGGCTGTGGTCCCTCTAAATGTTTGTCTTGTTCTGCCCTTAGTCATCTTTGTCCCAAGTTCCTCAACACCCCAATTAAGCAAAGTACTCATTATTCCACTGACTTCCTAGGCATTTCATTTTGTGAATTCCCTCTGTAATCATTGTAAAAGCTATTTAGAGAAGAGCAAGAGATTTGTTGAGTGAAACACCGAGCTCGACAGAAATGAAATCTGTAAAGCAACAGGAATGCTGCAGAGATGGAAAGAAAGGGAAGGTGTCCCGGGCCCGTCTCATGGCCGACCTTGCCGGCTCTGGCCAGTTTCCTCAGTGTGTTTCAGAGGAGCTGTGAGTGATGGCCTTGCTGAGCAGGGCTTGGCACTCCCACCTGGGTGCCCAGGGAAACAAGGCAAAGTGCTGTCTGCTGTCAGGAGTGGAGAAGACATGAAGGAATAGGGTTGCATTATTTAGATTATTAGTAGCCTGAATTTAGATGCCAGACAGAAAAAAAAAAAGTTGAGCTTTGCACATTAAAATTGGTACTTCATGGGTCATGACACTTATATTTTTGTGGGGAGAAAGCTGCCCCTATTAAATATGCCCTTATTAAATTGCACATTGTAATTTATGAAAATATTTTTATCTTTAATTTTGTAAATTAAGGATGTATTTCAAATATATCACTTTCCAACCTAAAGCTTTCTCAGTTCAATAACATTGAGAAGCATTTTTAAGCATGTAAACATCATACCTTGTACTAGATACTAGGGAGACAAAATTGAGTAAAATGAAATTTCTGCCTTCTGGGTGTTCACTGCCTGGGCCTGAGAAACAGTGACGCATCAGGCCCATAGAGGAACCAAGTGACTACATAGGAAATAACTGCAGTGTCTCTCCTAAGCCAGTGGATGTACTAATCATTTTCAATGAACTAACTGTGGAAAACAGTGCATTAAGTTGGAAATGCCTTTTCAGCCAACAGAATTGTGCAGGCAAGCAGCTGTGTGCTTGGTGTGTTATGGGCTCTCATTTGGCAGTCTCTTCACATACAAAACTCCCATTGCTTCTGGAATGAGCTGGATGGGAATCAACACAGAGAACAGGCCCAAAATGATGATCCTAGAATTGGGTCCTGTTTATGACTTACCTTAGGTTTTCTTGAGACTAAATTTTACTTCTCTCACTCAGTAGGAGATTATTGATAGCTCCAAGTCTATAGAGTGCTAGCTCCTAAATTCTAATGAAAATTCCTTACATGATCCATTTTATTTTACTAAAAATGGACAGAGTCTAGCAAAGTTCACAATATCCACACTTCGTGATCAGCTTTCATTTCATGATCGCTTCTACTTATACATGCTAAAAATGTGTGTACCAGGATTCACATATAAGAATATTCATGGAATTTTATTTGTTAAAACTTCAAAGAAATGTAACCTTAATATCCAAAAATAGTAGGATAAATAGTGTACTCAAAGAATGAACTATCATATAGCAATAAATTGGACAAAATACAGCTAAATGCAACAGTATAGATACATATAAAATATACACGTGTACCCAAGTTTGACAGCATGTGAAGCTAAATTATGTTCATCAGTGGTACGTTGTAGGTGGCACATATTTTTAAATGCAAGGAAGTCATAAAAATCCTGATCGTGGTACTTCCAGAGGGGAAGGCGAGGGCTTGCTAGGGGCTTATTGGAGCAATACAGGCACACAATTTAAGAGGGAATCAAAAAACTAAATAGTTAAAATAAATATTATCTTAAAGCAATATTTTTAAATGTCCAAATTAATGCGAAATCCATGGTGAGTAAAATGTCGAAAACTTAAAGACAGGGCCAGCAGGGAAGTGGAAGCGTTCTCTCTTCGGACCGGGTGGTGAGTTGCGTGTGTGGTTGTGTTTGTTTTCATTGGGCTGTTTAAGTTTAGTGCATTTTTCTTTAAATGTGTTATATTTCAGAAAATTGCCAAAGTTGGTAAAAATGAGCACAGAAAGGATCTAATTTCTTGTAATATTTGCTTAAGTTCCATACTTCTGTCCTGTACCGAATATTTCTCCTTGTTTCTTTTAAATTCTAACATTTTTTAGTAGATCAACAGTTACAGTGCCAAATAAAATCTCTAGTGATTTTGACAGTCGGTTTAGATTGTTCATCAGAAACTTGGCTCAAGGTTCGCCTTTATTTTGGCACCCAAATGTTCAGTTTAAGTCCAGGTACCAGCTCGCCTTATGGCTCTGGTTCATACCAAGCGATTAACCTTCATTACAGTGGTTGGTTCATGTTAGAAAAATTCTCTAGTTGATTGCTCTAGTGTAAATGTAGTTATGAACATGCTGTGTTTTTTCACGTTTTAAAGTTTTTCCCATACCTTACTCCCACTCAGCCCCCAAGTAGTCACAGAAATTTGTCTTCAGATGAAGCATTAGTAATTCTCACTCTGTATTTTATAAAATGTGTTTGATATTAAGATTTACATATGAATCAGCAAATTCTTTCAGAGAATGAGACAGACTAACTCATTATTGTTGACTTGCGTTGACACAAGAACTTCCTTGGCAGCCTTCGGTTCATGATGGTGCTTGAATTACTACAGGTTGTTACACTGTTACAAGTAGAACATTGGATTGTAAAAAAAAAAGTCTGAAAATAAATTGACAAATGATATTTAGTACTTGATATTAAGTATTTCCTCAGAATGTAAAACTTATCCTTAGCTAGATAGAAATCTGGAGGCAAGCAAAGAACTGGGTAAGTCAACCAAAATCCTTGTGGCTTGTTTTCTTTATTTAATTGGTTTGCTTTTTATTCATATTTCCTTCATTGGAATTTGAACTGTTAGGGGTTTCAGGTTGGCAGCTCTCTCCATACATTTTTAAAGGAAAGATAAATGATAGTTTCATAGTTAACTCTGTTTATGGGGATAAGAAAGCTATGTGAATGTTCCTGAAAATTCTTGAAATGTCAAGGCTAGACAGTCAACTAGTACTTGCTCATATCAGTAAATTCTTAAACGTTACTTTTTCAAAATATCTTTAGAAGTGTCATATATTCATTGCTCAAAAATTAAGCAACATCTTTCTATTTTACAAATGTTTGTAAAAAGTTACAATATTCCATTCAAGAAATATTCATTGTTCTACCCTGTGCCAGGCACTAAAACAAACATGAGTATAAGGTGGCATTGAAATGGAAAAGATCTCTGACCTCACAGTATTGACAGAATAGTATTCTAATGGTGTCTTTGCATGCTTGACAGCCCAGTAAACGATTTTTTTAAATAACAAACTAAATATAGTACCCCCATCAAAGTAACTGCTCTAGATAGATTACAGTACAATCTTCCAGACCACTTTTATAGTATGTAAACATTTCATTTTTTCTAAAAATATAATCTTCTGTAAAACATTCATAAATATATCTCTTTGAAGCTCTCCATCTTAATTACACACACACACAGTGTTCTTTTAAGACTACGTAATATTTGTGAATGTACATAAGCGTACTTGCTCCTTATTGGTGGACATTTAACCGGCTTCTAGTTTTTCATGATCAATAGTCCAACCATGAACACCTTTTACCTGTAGACATTTAGGAGCCACCAGTATGTTTTTTAAATGCTTAAAACAAATTTTCTCTCTTTTACTTTACAAAGAATTATGAGAACTGCAATTCTGGCAAAAATTACAGGAGTAATTTTACACAAAGACTTTTTGGGCCAAGGCTACCTAAGGAAAAGTCACTACCTGTGTGTTGTTTGTTAGCTATAATTAGAAAGAAGTTGCACGTGAATGATAACAGGGCACAGATGAGTTTTTCTTCCCCTCATGGCAACTTTTCTTCTTAGCTATTTTATTTCAGGTGGATAGTGTCAATCACTCTTCACCATCCTGAATTCATGATCGAGTCAATAAACTTGACTAGTTTAGATGCCCAATCTTTATTTAGTAAAAGGCAACAAATGAAGCACAAGGAAACCAAATCCCAACTAAATCTGTCCATCTTATTTTCCTTTTCACTAATTTACTCTATTGCTGGGCAGAATCTGTGGCCTTTTGTACTTTAGTTCTCTTCTTGTTAGATGATAATGTTTGGTTATGAATCTAAACTACTCAAATTATAATGTAGAGATACACTGTGTTTCTTAAAAATATCTTTGAAATACTGTCATATTTCATGTAATTAAAAATATTATACCCATTTACTATTTTAAATCCAGATGATTTTTTTTACTTAATAATCTTGGAATTTCAAGGTATTTAGGGAATTCTTGTTATAGTGTTTTTTATTCACTTACACTTTATAAATAGAAGACTTTGTCATAAATTTTGGAACTTATGAGCTTATTTACTGAAGAAAAAAAAACATGTTTTGGCATAACAGTCATAAATTTGACTTTTTTAGCCCTTTATGTGGAAACATTTCAAAAACCAAAGCTCTTACTTTCTTCCTTTTAAATAAGGGGTACCTGTGAGGGTTACTTCAAGTCAATATACACCATCAATAGAAAAACTATAAAATTCACTGCTTTGTGGAATTTATTTTTCTACATTCTCCAAGGCACTTTTGAGGAGCCAGAGCTAATCTAGCTAAAAACGCTCTTTAACAGCTTGGCCTGCAGTCTGTTTGTACTCTTGTCCTTGGAGTTGATTTGGCAATTTTGTAAAGACCAAGATGTGTTAATGGATTATTTAACATGTTTGTTGTGAAAATAACAACTCTCTTACTTTTAATTTCATGGTAGAGTGAACATTTATTCTTAGTTATTTGTATTTTATTGCATAAGAAATACTAAATGTTAACATTCAAAATTAAGCAGAAGTTAAATATAGTCATTGTTGAAAATTGAAAATTAGATAGCTGTCGCATTTTAAATGGACAGATGTAAAGTGTGTTTCTTTCTCTCAGGTGACTGTTCCATCAAATACAATATCCATGAATGGAAGGTCAAGACTCAGTCATTCCATGTCGCTTGATGCCCAGGACAGCCGTTAAATGTTGCCCTGCCACGCTATGCTTCCCCTTCTGACTCATAGAACAACTTCATACTATGAAGAATGCTGGCAAATGTATATTCAGATGTACACTAATATATTATCTATTAAAGTGTAAGAAGTTGTGCTGTGGCTTTTGATGCCAAAAGAAGATTTACTAGAGTTTATAATTTATAATATTTTTGACCTTTTATGCCTTAAAAGCTGAATATGCTACTTTAGAACTTTAAGACAGGTGTTATGACTCATTTTTTTTCAAATGAGAAATACTCTTTTTTTTGTTCCACTTACTGATTGACACATTCTCTGCAATGTGAATTAGACAAAAGGATAAATTAAGTCATAGACATATTTGTGTGACACATGAATAACTAGGCAAACTTAGATGTGACACTGGCTGCCTCAATGTCACAGTTTAATTACAAATGTTTATAAGTTATATGATAGCCTGTTTTGTGCTGAAAGTGTGATCTAGAAAACCAATATCAAATAAGTATATTTAGTTCAACAGTTAATTTCAGTGATGAATCATTTAGTGTGCAGGTCTTATCTTGTGCATTTTTCTGTGTAATTACAAAATCAGTGTCAAATTTATGGGGAACACATATTTTAATATTTTATTAGTATGGAACACTTGTTTTTTTTTAATCTTTAGAAAAATTGCACAAGGTAAATTTTAAATATTTTCTGTATATAATTATGGTATTATTGTCACAGAGATATTACACATTTTATGTGCCAGAAGCCTTAAAAATCTTTCTGTGAAAATGTTGATACATTGTGACAATCATTTCACACTTAATATCTAGAGAGGAATAGGGGTTAGCTTATGACCATATTGGAAAATTTTAAAGACTACTTGGAGGTACCAGAAATCTTGGTTTTAATTAAAGGAAAATGATAACATCGTTATGTAGTTCAGATGCTAATATTCTAAATAATAATATATTTACATTAAAGCTAAAACTGTTAAACAAAACAGTGCCTATTTGTTGGTTTCTAAGTGTTCTGGAGTCTAGCTTGTTAATATTCTATTCCTACTTTAAGAATTTAGTTGCTCACTTGTTCTAAAAGCTTCATCAAACAAGCCAATGTTAATTGTTTTCACTAAAGCTACTGAGATATTTGCCTCGTTGGAAAATGTGTTGATTTTTTTTTCCTGTTTAATAAAAGCAAGTTATATATTTGGGATGCTTTTTTTAATGCGGCTTGTGTCAACCAGCCTATTTGTGTACTTCACCTGATGAACACATCACTGTTAGCCCATAAATCGACAAATAAAGTAATTGGTACCCTTCGTTAGGATCCCTAGTCCACAAATGAGCCTGGGCATCATACCTCTGAAATGCACGATGAAAGCATGGAAGATGCTTCTCATCCTTCCCGATATCTGGCAGGTGCAGGTTAGGTGTTAAATGCTGCTATTACTTTGAATCAAACTTGGAGAGACCTTCACATAGGAAAATTTAAGTTATATCATTATAAACCAGTATCAGAAGGAGTTACTTTTTGACAAATTGTGTTTATATATTTGATTTTCCACCTGGGGAAAAAAAATTGGATCCCTACCTCAAACCATAACCAAATATATGTGAGATGGATTACAAACAACTTTTAAAAGTAATATTAAACTTAGAAGAATATTATTTAAATAAGATAAAGAGGAACAGTCATAAAAGATATGATTAGTTTAAATATATGAAAATTTAAAACATATTTACATTAAGTGCTATAAAAGTGAAAAGCTACAATATGTTTTTTAATATATAAGAGATAATTTATAAAAATGTAGAAATATAAAACTGATTAGAAAAACTGCCTGGTAGAAATATGAACACACTGAAAAAAAAAGCCGTATTTTTTACAAGAGAATATCTGAAAGGCCAAAAACATGGAGAAAATACTCTTCACTAATAATCAAGGAAATACAAGTTTAAACACAAGGGTTCCACGTCACACCCATCCAATTAGCAAAAACCTAAGTCTCAAAATACAAGTGTTGTCAAGGACAATGAAGTAGGGGGAACACTTTCTTATTGGTGGGGAAATACACTGGCATGACCATCAGATTCACCGTATCTGGTAAAATTAAACATCTCTTACCATGTTACCTTCTAGAAGTACGCATGTACGTGCATGAGGAGGCACACACAAACATGTTCACGGCAACCTTGTGTGTGACGGCGGAAAGGAGTCCTCATCAGCACTCAGCGTTGGTAGTGAATGCATGTGATGGAATTCTGTACATCAGTTAAAAGGAACAAACTAGAATTATACCTATCGACATACATACATCTCAAAACTAAGAAAAGCAAGTTGTGGAAAAATGCATGTTTTATGATAGTTTATATAAACTATGAAATATGTCCAATGATACTATATATTATGATTTTGTATATAATATATATGAAATAAAATGCATAGATTTGCTGGTGCAAACCAAGAAACGAATATTGGATCAGGGAGATTTACAGGAAACATAAATGTGATTGTAGTATTTTATAAACTTCGAAAACAAATACTTGTTTTATGCTATATTTTAGCATATTTGAGATAGTTCATAATTAAAGTGTTTTAAAAAGATTATGTAGGATTTAGGTGAATATGGACATGAACATTAATACACACATTCTGAAAAAATTGCCTTATCTACACTATTTCAGGAGAAAAATTTGCTGCCCTCTCCACTCTTTTGGGAAAGAAATTTGAGACAAGTAGTTTTTACCAGTCATCTCCTCAAGCAAGAGCAAAATTAAGACAAAGGAATGGTCAAGAACCAACTTGCAATTTTCATATTAAGTTTTTGGTATCTAGGCAGTTTGCTTTTTCCTTTTTTTCCTCATCAGGTCATTTTTAATAATATTTTAAAATTATCCAGATTCTATGTAAATTATACAGTATGAGATGCAGTACCCTCTTTTCTGTCTCCAGCACCCCACTCTCCAGGTAACCACTGTTAATATTTTGACAGATACCTCTATATTTTGATACATACACAAATATAGGTTTGTTTGGGGCATCTGTGTTTTTTGTTATTGCCATTACTGTTGTTTTTAACATAAAAAGTCACACTTTAATACTATTTAACGAGTTGCCTTTCACACTAGCAGTATCCTAGAAAAGCCTTTCTTCTGGCGGATACAGATCCACCCTATGGCATTTCAGTTTGCTGTTCTTCTGTTGTTTGTTTCTGGTTGGGATGCACAGCCTGGGCTGGAGTCAGGATAGTCAGGCTCAAATCACAGGTCTGCCACTTACAGGTCTTGGGATCTTTGGCAAATTACTCATTTTGTCTGTACCTCATCCACCCCTGAAAATTGAATTAATAACATGCCTACCTCATGGGTGGTGGTTGTAAGGATTAAATGAATTTTAAAAGAGTTTGGCAAACAATTCATTTTTAAAAGCTGTCTATTTTTAATACTACTGGCACAACTCCCCATCCTTCTAAAGAGTGACTTTCCCTCACGTTTTAAGGCCATATTTGGCCTTGGCCACCAGAGATGACAACAGAATCCACATGCTGCCCCCAGATCCAAGTCTTTGAATGAGACCAGTCTCTTCCTGGAGACCTTCAAGTTGCTTGTATAGTCAACCCTTGAACAATGCAGGTCAGAGATGCTGCCCACTCCCACCACACATGCAGTCAAAAATTCACTAATATCCTTTTTTTATTATATTTTATTGATTATGCTATCACAGTTATCCCAATTTTATCCCCTTTCTCCTTCTCCACCCAGCATCTCTCACTCAGGCAGTCCCCAGATCATTGTTCATGTTCATGGGTCATGCATATAAGTTCTTTAGCTACTCCATTTCCTACACTGTACTTTTCATCCCCATGACTATTCTGTAACTACCTACTTGCACTTTTAATCCCTTCACTTCTTCACCCATTCCCCTATACCTCCTCTTGTCTGGCAACCATCAAAATACTCAATGTATCCATGATTCTGCCTTTGTTTTTCCTGTTTGCTTAGTGTTTTTTAAATTTGTTGACAGGTATGTATTTATTGCCATTTTATTCATAGTTTTGATCTTTTCTTAAATAAGTTCCTGTAACATTTCATATAATAATGGTTTGGTGATGATGAACTCCTTAAGATTTCCTTATCTGGGAAGCTCTTTATCTGCCCTTTGATTCTAAATATCTTTGCTGGGTAGAGCAATCTTGGCTGTAGGTCCTTGCTTTTCATGACTTGGAATATTTCTTGCCAGTCCCTTCTAGCCTGCAAAATTTCTTTTGAGATATCAGCTAACAGTCTCATGGAAACTCCTTTGTAGTTCTGCTTTGTAGGACTGCTTTTCTCCTGCTGCTTTTAAGATTCTGTATCTTTAACCTTTGGCACTTTAATTATGATGTGTCTTGGAGTGGGCCTCTTTGCATCCATCTTGTTTGGGTCTCCATGCTTCGTGCACTTGCATTCACCAAGTTAGGGAAATTTTCTTTTATTATTTTTTCAAATAGATTTCCAATTTTTTGTAATTTCTCATCTCCTTCTGGCACCCATATAATGCAAATGTTGGAATGCTTGAAGTTGTTCTGAAGGATGCTTACATTGTCCTCGTTTTCTTGAATTCATTTTTCTTCTTGTTCTGATTGGTTGTTTTTTTCTTCCCTATGTCCCAAATCATTGATTTGATTCTCAGTTTCATCCACTCTACTGTTGTTTCACTGAAAATTGCTCTATATTTCAGTAAGTGTATCTTTCATTTCTGATGGGACCTTTTTTTATGCTGATGAGGTTCTCATTAAGTTCCTTCAGTGTATTTTGAATGCAGACATCTGATAGACTGCTTATCTCCATTTTGTTCAGTTCTTTTTCTGGACTTTTGATCTGTTCTTTCATTTGGGCCTTATTTGTTTGTCTCCTCATTTTGGCAGACTCCTTGTGTTTGTTTCTGTTAGGTAGAGCTGCCATGACTCCCTGTCTTGGAATGATGGCCTAATGTTGTAGGTGTCCTGTAGGATCCAGTGACACAACCTCCTCTATTACCCAAGTTGGGTACTTGAGATGTGTCCTTCGTGTATGCTAAGTACATCCTCCTCTTGTAGTTGATCCTTGATTGCTGTTGGCAGGTCAATGGGAGGGATTTACCCAGGCCAGTCAGTTGCAAGGACTGGCTGTGACCACTGAACACCAACCTCCACCCTCTCTGGGGATCAGCCATGCAGGGGCATGGTATTGGTACTACAGTATAGTTTATAGCTGTCCACTGGGTGCACACAGGTCCTGGGGTTTCCCAGGTGATGCAGGCCAAGGTCAGCCTCCACCTGTGTTTTGCCCGGGAATACCCTGCCTGAGCCATACAACAATCTGAAATGACTGCTACTTGTGTTGGGCTTGGACATCCCCAGACAAAGGCAAGCTGTGAATCTAGGCTGGCTGCTGCTAGTGCTGTGCCTAGGACCACTTAGGAAGAGGTTAGGGGGGCTGGGGATTCAGATGACTGAGGCCAGCTGTTGCTTGCTTGACAGGATTTAGGAAGTTCTGAAGCTTGAACCAAGACCAGCCATTCATCTGGAAAAGCTACTATTAACAGCTGTAAATTGGGTAGGACAGAGCCTTAGGGGATTTCCAGGGTGAAGCAAACAGTGTTAGCCAGGTTGATGGAGTCTCAGATATGGCACCCGTCTACTGGCTCTATGGCTGTGCCCACCTTTCTGTCTGGGAGAAAGCTGACCCCCAGCTCTCGCCTTGAGCTGGCCACTTTGGTTCCTCCCTGTATGCCACTGGTGCCTTTCAAGTTGTTATCCCGGTGCTGGAGCTCAGAAGGAATGAATCTTTGTGGATTCTTTAAGAGGAACTGCTAGGGACTTTAGAAGTTTCTTCTACTGACTCAATCCCTACTGGTTTTTGCAGCTGGAAGTTGTGGGGACTTACCTTCCTGGCACTGGAACCCTGGTCTGGGGGGCCTGGTGTGGGGCTTGGACTCATTACTCTTGAGATATCCCCCCAAGTTTTTATCCACCACATGTGGGTGTGGGACCAGACCATTACACATCTCCACCCTTCCTATCAGTCTGGATGGATGTGGTTTCTTTAATTCCATAGTTCTTGGACTTTCATTCAACTCAATATCTGCTGATTCTGAGTGTGGTGGTTCTATAATTTAGTTGTAATTTTGATGTGGATGTGCAAGGACATGAGCCAGGTTTACTTATGCTGCCATAGAAGTGATC